TAACCTTTGCAGTGGGGCCAACCTCAGGGTTAAGTGTTTGTTTTGTCTAGGGAGCTAAAATAACAAACATATACTCACTCAGACCCAGCTGGCTGCTAGACCAGTCCCTGCAGCCTCTCCCCCTCCGCTCCCGCGATGGAATGACCCTCTGCATCAATACACTGTATTGGACTTGTAGATTCATGGGTTTTTAGACCGCGGGAGCAAAGAGGAAGAGGGGCTGCAGGGACCACTTTACCATCCAGCCAGGTCCGACTTTCGGGTGAGTATATCTTTGTTATTTTAGCTCCCTAGGCAAAATGAGCACATAAAGTTTGAAGTGCGGGGGCACTCTACAACGCAAGGGTTAAGATTGAACATGCCTGGTGTTCTGTAACATTTAAAGCACATCTACACCCAAAAACAAAAATAAATAAATATGGCAGCTTACCGGTCCTTAGATGTGATGGCTGTTCTTTTTTTGTGTCAGCTGATACTTCCAGTTACACGCTTCCTGTCATAGAGGGACAATGTTCATTCACTGTACTAGAAGGAGGCAGAGGAACATGCCTGCTGAAAGTGCCATAAAGTAACCCTTTGTAAGACTTCCATCCCTACGCCACGGATGGAGATTCTTGTGTTGTGGGGGGAGAGGTGGAAAGGAAGGAGCGAGTATGAGGAGTAACAGACCTTTTCCTGCCGACTGGTAGCATTTATGTGCTTCTCCCACAGAACTTTGTGGTGAACAGTCATGTGCTTCCTCATGCATGCAGTGCCCAAATAACTGGTAGAGTTACCAAGCTTGATACACCGAAGGCTGAAGGTGTTAATCACTACTGTGTTGTCTGCAGCACATGTATGAAAAAAGGCCGACACTGCTGAGCTCTGTGGAGCAGACCTGAGAATACAAGAGGCCATCAATCATGGAGCAGTGCTGTCCGCTAGACTAGGGCATCTGCTTCTTCCACTCCTTTGCAAGCTGCCCCTGGACAACATCCTGCTTCACTTTGTGCCTCTGCTATCTCTGGCACACAGGCATGGTCTGGGACCTAAACATCATCCAAACCCTCCTCATCACTGGAGCCAACCTGGCAGTAAGCTGCAGCAACATCAGTGTCAATTGGTTTTCCCATGATTCCCTCTCCCTCTATACTCCTGTCGCTCTCCTCCTTAACATCAGAATAATTTTTTGTGCATCCTCCTGTGTCCAGTTTATCAAGTTGTGCTGAAATAATTCTGCCAACTCAGGGCTATGGTAGGATTAGCCTTGGAAGAGGTGGGACAGGGCTTTTGTAACTACTGATGACAGTGTGCTAGTCTGCTCCGGTAAAGGAGGAGGATAGTGAAGACTTGGTTATCCACTCCATCACTTACTCCATGTGATCTGGTCATATAGCACACCCACTGCCAGAAAACTCAAGCCCCATCCCTAGTTCTCAGTTATGGTCTTAGGACTACAGTACACCCCCTACGTTATGTAGAAGAGGAGTGGATTATGTGTTCTGTAGTTCTATCTTAGGATAGCAATGCTGATTCTCCAGAGTCCGTATAGTGAATGAACATTGTTCCCCCAGTACAGGAAGTGTGTAACTGGTAGGCTCATCATCTGAATATGGATAAAAAAACGAATTGCAGCCACCACATCTAAGCTGTACACTTAAAATTTTTGCTCCTGGGTTTAGAAGTGCTTTAACCACTTGAAGACCAGGTGTTTAGACCCCCTTCCTGGCCAGGCCATTTTTCAGTATTCAGCGCTGCGGTACTTTGACTGACGTTTATTCCGTCATGCAACGCTGTACTGAAATTAATTTTATAACATTTTTTGGGGACAGATAGGGCTTTCTTTTGGTGGTATTTAAACACCACTGGGGTTTTTATTTTTTACTATAATTAGGAAAAATTACAGAAAATTTGGGGGGAAAAAAGGTTTTTTTTACATGATGTTAGGAAACATTTATTATTACCCAGTTTTTTGGTAAAATATAAAAGATCGGATGCTACTCCCCATTGAGAAAGTCATAATTGAACAGGAAGTGATGTAAAGCACTTCCTGTTCATTCATAACTGAAGACACATGGTACTATTTACAAACACTGGAGCTGATCGCTCCAGCGTTTGCTCTGCACATTGGAACATATCTCTGATATGTACAGATCTCCTGCTGCTCGGCCACGCACAGAGCTCAGCCTGAGGCTTCTCCTCTGGATCCCCACTGCTCTCCCCCGCCTGTTTGCAGAGGGGATCCGAGGATAAGTGAATGAAGCGCTGAAGCTGGCAGGGGGGCGGAGGAGGGAGCCGCTGTCACAGCAGTATGTGCGAGCGGTGAGGAAAGAGAGAGCTGCCGGCTGTCAGATCCTGGCCGAGTGACTCTCTCCTCACTGATCGGCTATGCTGCTGTGACATATGCTCCCTCCTCCGCCGGCTACTGCACTTTCTTCACTTCTCATCAGATCCCCACTGCATACAGATGGGGGAGAGCAGCGGGGATCCAGAGGAGAAGCTGCAGGCTGAGCTCCCTGCTGGCTGAGCCTTGGATGCGCCTCCCGCACCTGCAGGACACAGCCAGTGTTCACTTTGCGATCGACTGGTAGATTGCGATCGACCTAATGCCCTAGACCCTGCCCTAGACCGAAGTGAGCAGTTTTTTTTTTTTATAAATTGTTTTTATTAGGTTTCATATAAAACAGAACAAAACAGACAATTATCACCAACACTCAGGGGCACATCATACATATGTTCAACAACACCTTATAACATACCCTCTCCGCCCGCCACCCCAAACCCCCCCCTTAACTAAAGCTGTGCAATCTACAAATACTGGAAGGATCAAATAATTAAATAAGACTGGTCAAGCTAAGACATAGCTAATTCAGAGTCTCAATGTGTGGGCAACACAGTAGCCTTATGTGGTCGCCAGTGACAATTGAGCCTCCACCAGCAGAGCCTTCCAGGGATCCTGGAATAACAGATTCTATTAATCCTCTCTAATTTTCTAGGGTGGGCGGGGCTGGCTTTTTCCAGTGCAACACAATCAGTTTCCTAGCGTAAAACAGTAAAATCCCTAACAGTGGCATGGGTAGATGTAATATGCTCAGTAAGACCCAGTAAGCAGATTCCCATCTCCGGCTGGATGTCTATCATCAGGAATTGTGATATGAAGTTCGCGATCTCCACCCAATAGGTCTGAATAGCCGGGCAGTCCCAGAACACATGACTTAATCCCGCATGGGAAAAGGTACACCTCCAACATGTCGCTGAGCTTGTACTATATATCCTGGCCAGTCTTGCCGGCGTATAGTACACCCTGTGCAACAGTTTATACTGTATTAGTCTATCCCTGGCCGAAATTAAATGTGTGAATGGATAATCCCAGGCCTCCCTCCATTCCTCCTAATCCAGATCCTGTACCTCTCTACGCCACTGTGCCCCACAGCTACTTAAGGGGTTGTAGCTATCAGGAAACAGAGTGCCGTACACCGTGGACAAGGGCTTACGTAGCCCCCGAGACTTCAGCATGCACTCCAGGGGGAGGCACAAAAGCTTCCCGAAGTGGGTGTAAACTGGGCTCGGAAGGCATGGCAGAGTTGCAGATAGCGGAAAAGAAAAGATCCCGGCAGCCCAAATTTGATACATAAGTCCGCAAAACTCATGATATGCCCAGCAGTGAGTATGTCCTCCAATTTTTTGACGCCCTTTCCGTCCCATATCTGACAATCCAAAATAGTGTGGAAGTGTGCCAGATTTGGGTTCCTCCACAAAGGAGTATGCGGGGACACAGTCAACTCTCCTCCCGCAAGTGCACTCGATAACTGCTGCCACGCCTTCAAGGTAGCTCGCATGGAGAGCGTGAGGTCATACGGGGCCCCACATGCCCTATACACCAGGGATGACAAGGCCTCATAGGAGCCCAGGCTTGCCGCCTCAAAGACCACCGCAGAGTCACTGTCCTCTCCCACCAGCAATCTGAGCACAACCCCCATTTGTCCTGCCAGATAGTATTTCCTCATATCAGGTAGTGCCAGTCCCCCTCCTGTCCAAGGCGCCTGCAGGATAGCCATCCGAAGTCTCGGTACCTGCGAGCTCCACACGAAGTCCCGGAACATGCCAGTCACCCCTCGGAAAAAACTCGCAGGCACCCACACTGGGGAGTTGCGCAGGAAATACAGCAAAACCGGGAGAACCTTCATTTTGAGCAGATTAACCTTCCCTATCATGAAAATTGGCAAATGCTTCCACGCCAGCAGCCTCCCCTTAACTTGTGCAAGGGCCGGGGCCAGATTCAGGGAGTGGTAGTCACCCACCCTAGCCAAGATCTTAATTCCAAGGTACGTGATCTGTGAGACCCACTGTAGAGGCTTTGATCCATCAGCCGAGCTTATGGAGCCCTCATCTAGAGGCCAGGATATGGGACTTGGCCCAGTTCACTTTCAAACCAGAAAACACAGAGAACTGATCAAGAATCCTCAGCGCCTCCCTAAGTGATGGTCCTGCATCTGCCAAAAACAAAATTAAGTCATCCGCATATAAAGCCAGCCGCTCTTCAATAGTTCCCACCCTGAGTCCCTCCAGCTTTGTGGAGGTGCGCAAGGCCACTGCCAAGGGCTCCATCATTAATGCAAACAGCCCCGGCGAGAGGGGGCACCCCTGCCGGGTACCCCTCCTCACCGGAAAGCCATCCGACATGAAAGCCATCCGACATGGCAGAACCTATCTTCAGAGCGGCTATAGGTTCTCTCGAAGTGAGCAGTTACCCCACAGTGCAAGGGTTAATTTTTACATTTCCTGGAGTTCTTCTTTCCTTTAATTTAAACTATATAGATTTGCTTGAAACCAGTTCAAACAATTGTTTAAATATTTCCAGGTGTAAAGTAAACAAGGAGTTAATACAAAAGAGATACATAATGACATGGGTGTGTTTATTGTCATGTGTTACAAATGTGAAGCGCATAGCAGGTCACATCACCTGTGCACTATACATATTCCATTAGAGAACTATTCAGCATTGCAGGATGCATCTCAGGATGGGTTACCTGAAGCCTCTTATGCTTCTTCTGTGTATTGCTGTTGTATTTCTGCTGGAACCAAAAACATTTTACATGGAAAAATATCTGGAAAGGATGAATATTAAAGCCACCATGCTACAAAGTAAGTTGAAAGTTTATATTGTTTTACCGTAAACAATGAAACATTTAATTTTAACAAATTCTTCTAAGATAATTGCTACAAGAAATCAGTACATTGCAAGCTTAAGGCCCCTTTTTACTCAGGTGTTGTCTGTTTACAGATCCTCGCTGATCAGCGCAGTATAGAACGCATGTCACTTTTATGACATCCGTGTCCATTCAGTTTTCTCCATCTTGCGACCCATGTTAGATCATGTTAGGGCAGTTGGATGTAAGCAGGCATGCAACTGTTCACATCTGAATACCTCCGATCCGTCCCAATCAAGTCTGCCAACATGAAACTGTTCCATTTTGTTTTTTCGGACCAAGACAGACAGGGGGGTAGTTGTATACAAAGAGACGCATGTCCACATACATCTGACTGCTTATAAAGTTACATTGAGCTTCAGATCAGGTCCGCCTGAAAAAGACAGATGGACCAGATCGAAACACTGTGTGAAAGGGGCCTCAATGGAACTGAAACCTTATTGTAATAGTGTTCTGTTCCTATGATTCACTAAAAGGTATATACATTTGCCAAGTGGTATTTCTTCTAAACATCTAATCATGATGTCCATTTTACAAAATTGAGTTAGGATGCACCAAATTACATTTTATTTGCGGTTACTTTTTCCAGAACTTCAGAATATGCTAGAGATAATTTATGTAGTATACATTCTAACAGGAACTGTTCTTAACCACAGTCTTCTAGGGCAAATACAGCACCGGACAGATCACTTGCCTTTTCAGGGTTTGCTCACACCAAATCCGGACCAGATCTGCATGAGTTCCTGCATATGCAGTACAGCGTGTTTTATGCCGAATTCCGGGCCATTTTTATCTGGAGGGGGGAACGCACTGAAATGGACTTTCAGTGCGTTCCAGAGCAGAAAAAAAATAGGGCATGCTGCAGTTTTTCCACATGCTCTAGAACTGAACACTGTGGTATGAACTAGAGCCCAAAATACCATTGGAATACACTGGTTTCACTTTTGATGTGTTCTGTAACTGCTCTGCATCTGCTCCACGCTTGGTGTGAACAAGCCCTCAAAAAGTTTTTTTTCCATGGCACACAGTAAACAAGTATTTCTGCAGTTCATGAAATACAGTCCTCTTCATAACATTAGTCAGCTTCCATCCTCCATCTCCCCTAGCTGGGTAACCGTAACATAAAGCCAGGCTTCCTTTTAAACACTCGCAGAAGCACCCGCAATCATGGGCTACACCTGTGATTACCTGCAACCACAAAACCTGGACTGGACATCTTACTTATCTGATGGGATAATGGCCCACTTTTCTCTCCATTATCTCATTCTCAACCCCAGGGACCCACAACACAATTTAGAAATTGCACAACTAAATCATACACCCTTTCCCTGGCATTTTTAACTGAAAAGAGGGATGCAATCTAAAGGGCTTGGTCTTAAGGTGCCCATAAACCTGCCGATTATCGGTGATCCCGCGATCGTACGAAAATCGGCAGGTGTATGGAGGACGTGTGACCGTTTCAACTGTACGGTCGCACGTCTTTTGTCTCCCGAGCAGGCTTGAAAACCCGCCGAGAATCGTACGATTTTTGGCGGGTTAGTGGCGTTCTCGGAAGACAAATGCCGCACGGGCCATTGTGCGCAATGCCCGTGCGGCATTGGAATCATCGGAAGCCCTCCCCTCAGCGGGGCGTGCTTGCGATGATCGCAAGTACGATCTGCCTGTCCAAGATGGGCAGATCGTACGAGCTTTTAATTGGTTGTAAAGTGTATGGCCAACTCTGCATAGCTCCCATTTATAACCATGCTTTGCCTTCTGTCACAACATAATTATCTATATAATAGGGGTGCGGAAATTAACGATTAATCCGTCGATTAATCGTTAATTTTTTTGATCGATCAAAATTATTTTGATCGATCAAAGTTTCTTTTGATCCATACTCACCTCTCCGCCGGCTTCCGGGTCTTCCGTCGGAGATCCGGCGACGTCACGGACATCGACGTCACCGGACTCCTCCCCCTTCCCCGAGTGGCTCTGTCGGCTAACGAAGGGAAGGGGGGAGGAGTCGGGTGATGTAGTTGTCGGTGATGGGTAACGAAGGGAAGGAGGGAGGAGTCCGGTCACGTCTCGGACATAGACTCCTCCCCCTTCCCTTCGTTACCTGACGGAATCACTTGGGCTGTGTGCGGTGACGCAGGTCTCCTCGGCCAATGCCCCTCCTTCTCTCTTCTCTTACATTAGCCTCTTGCCAGTCTGCATTCCTGAAAGGCCGAAGCCTCCTTTCAGGCCAGCGTCCAGCCCCTCTCACGTATGCTTTTATCCGGCAGGCCTGGACCTGCAAACCCTATTGTGTCCCTTTCAGGTCAGACACAGCTGAGGGAGCAAAATAAGCCAGCAAATAACAGTGGAGCTGCAATGCTATGAAGGTTGTTTATACCTGTTTACGTCCTCTGTCTCCTGGCGAGAGCATAATTAATAGCTTCTATTGCCATCTTACGATGGATGCGGTTCATGCCCCTTTAAAGTTAAGCCTTGATTGTATCTGGCATCCTCGGGCTTTATCACTTGTATGCGGTGTGATATTTTTGCTGAGGCTTTTAACCACTTCAAGACAAGCAGCGCGCGCGGGGGCGTGTCTGAGCGGACGTCTAAAGACGCCCGCTCAGATCTAGAGAGCTCCTGGGTGGCCGTTTTTTTACTACGGCCGGCCCGGAGGCAGTTAAAGAGCCAGCATTTCTGTTTCTGCCTCTCGTATAATAATTTTTAAAGGGGTTATCAAAACCAACAATACTGTCCATATGGCATACTTCAGCAGGCCATGCAGGGTAAAGCAACAGGTAGCCAGCCCAACAGTGGTGAGACCCCACAAAGCCATGGTGAGACCCCATGGAGCCCTGGTGAGACCAGGGCTCTGTGGGATCTTGCAGGGCTCTGTGGGATCTTGCCAGGGCTCTGTGGGGTCTTGCCAGGGCTCTGTGGGTCTAACAAGGCTGTTTAGACCCCACAGAGCCCTGCTACCCTGGTGAGGCCCCCTCAAAGCTCTGGTGAGACCCCCCTCTGTATGTGCGTTATAATTAATCGAAATTAGTCGATTAATCGATTT